AAAAAGAGGATGAGCTAAGTGTAGTAACTGAGGGAAGCAGCAAGGTCTGTTCCTTCAGATTTCTCTCTGTGTCCCTTAGTCTTGGGAGATGAAGGTGCCCTTTACTCAGGATTTGGGGACGGTGCCTTTCACTTGAGGGTTTTAATGGCCCAATTCAGGGGAGGATCAGTGAGTCCTTCCTGCACATGTAGCCCCCCAAATGCCTTCAGCTTAAAATATTCAGTATTGAAAGTACTAAAGATTTTGCTTACCTTGGTTTAGCCATCAATTTAAGTGGAGGCTGCAGCCAAGAAATGACAGGACAGCCGAGACTGGGCAGGGCAGCAGTGGGAGAATTAGGAAAAGATCAAGGGCAAAGATGTGGCATTAGAGACCAAGGCTAAGGTCACCCACCCCCTGACATTCCCAATTACTATGTATGGAAGTAAAAGTTGGACAGTGAAGAAGGCTGAAAGGGAAAAAATTGATTCATTTGAAATACGGTGTTGGAGGAGAGCTGTACGGATACCCCGGGCCGTCCCTGGACCGCCAGAAAGACTAACAAGTAGGTCCTAGAATGAATTAAGCCTGGAACATCACTGGAGGCAAAAATGACAAAACTGAAGCCGTCCTACTTTGGGCACATCATGAGAAGGCATAGGTGTTTGGAAAACCCAATAATCCTGAGAAAAATAGAAGGCAGCAGGAGGAGGAAGACAAATTGAGAGATGGCCTGACTCATAAAAGAAGCCGTAGGCTTAAGTCTACAAGAGCAGAACAGAGCTGTTGAATACAGGATATGGTGGATGTCACCCATTATAGGGTCCCTGGGAATCAGAGCTGACCTAACAACATGTACCTGTTTTGGAGTAGTATGTTTTAAATCCTATCACATTGTCCTATCGTATCATTTAGCTATTGCCACAATCATTCTGTATAACCACCATCCCAAAATTCACACTTACAGGCTTGCAGGCCTGTTTTGAGAGCTGCTTCCCTGGGTTAATCTTAGCTGGATAGCTTAACACTCTTGGTTGTAGTAGGCTTGGCTTATTGCTGTGAGTCTGGGGCTTAGTCTACCCCCACAAGCGTTCGTGCTGAGCCTGAGGCTAGAGGGGAAGCAGCTGTTCAGTGGCCATGGCCAAAGTGCAAAAGAGCAAGCCCAGCCAAGCTCATTTTAAGCTTTGCTTGCATCAGATCTGTTAACATCCCTTTGGCCAAAGCAAGTCACATGGCCCAGTCTGTCCACAGTCCAGGGTGGGGATATATACCACTCCTCAGGAGGGAGCAGCTCCAGAGACACATGGCAAAGGGTGTTGAGTTGGGTGGTTACGAGTTGGGACTAGAAATGTAAGCCTTCACCGTCACATAGCTAAATCCTTCCCACCCCCTCCCTTTTTAACAATTGATCCTATCTGCTCTTTAAGCTTTCTGGCTCAGTTCAGATACTCTCTCTGTGGCCTGCACAATAGGAATTGTTCCTTCTTCTAAACTGTTATTTAATTTTACCTGTCAGTAGAGATGTGCTACTTTCTATTTGTATCCATTATACCTCCTTCTACCATGGGAGGTCTTACAGGGCAAACTTCTGGCTAAATCATGTTTACATTGCATTTGTATCTAAAAACAAGTAAACTACTTGTTTTAAAAGAGAAGATACTACAGATTTTTTTATTGTGATAAAATACACATAACATAAAATCTATTGTTTTAACCATTTTTAAATGTACAGTTTGTGGCATGTCGAACACTCACATTGTTCTTACTGATTTATTTTTAATTGGGCTTCTGACTTCTCAAATGCACGGAACCTGCATACTTCTTTTAAGAAGTAACTTTCATAGGGATTTGTGAAGGAAGTAGTGTGTTTGTGTGCGTGAATTCTCTTTGTCTTTTTGTTTTTATTTATTTATTTTGGCATTTTAAAAAGCAGATGTTTTCTGCAAAATAGTTGTCAATTTATTCTGTGTTCAGACTCATTCAAGCTTGTTGCCATAGCTGAAGTGTATATTTTTGGGTTACAACAATTTAACAGATCCCCCTATAGTTGAGTTGTGAATAGAATGGGTATGAGGCACCCAATGGAGAGGAAATGGGGACATGATACATCGTAATACTGATCTCAAAGTCTTGGCAGAATAATTTTAACATTATTTTTAGCTCTTCTTAAGAATGAAAAATAGCTTCCACATTCACATTCATCCTAATGTTTAGCATTTAGGCACATTTAGTATATATTTATGGAAGAGCTTGTTCAGAATTCTTTCTGAAGATTTATACAGAGAATTCATGTTCTTTCAAGGAGAACGTTGGGTATAAAGGATGATTTCCAACTGGAAGTAGAAAAATAACTTAGAATATTGTTATTAGTTGTAGAATTTTATCCAATTTCATATCACTTTCTGTTATTAACAGTCTTACTGTGTTTATAGTTCCGGATATCCGTGGTCATAGAATCTTGTGATACTTAATGCTTATTAAGGTTAAGGGGTCTTAGCCTTTAGGCCAAGGGAATAGGAGCATATAATTCAAAGATTTTGAGACATGCATGTGTGTGTGTGCGTGTGTGTGTTAGAATTTCTTCGTGTTTATTCAGAAGCATGTCATGTTGAATAGTCAGTCCAAATTAGTTAATTAAGCACATGAGCTAGAGGATTTGAGATCTGTTTAATTGTTCTGATTCTTTGAGTAGATTGCCAGATGAGCCCCTCGACCCAGGTTTTAGTAAAAGAAAAAAGCAGTATTTGTCATCATCATCATGTGAATAACTACATCCTATGGATCACATAATACTCAGTTCCTATCGTACAACGTCCAACCAAGTATGGGCTCTCTTAATCATAATCCCCTTAGTTAGTGTTTAAATACATTTTTAAAAACTCTAAGTATACTTGTGAGAGTTTTTCCCTAATTTAATTGATATCTGACGTTTTCCCTTTCCGTGGGGACCAAAACCGAGCTTTGTGAGAAGCTCCTGTCTCATTGACGGTGAAGCAACTACATCACATGGGCGCCGGCCTGTACGTCATCTCCTGTGTTGCCTGGGGTATAAGGTACGCTGAGGAAACGGGGGCTCTTGCCCACACCTTTGAAGTGGGACCACTTCCTGACATGATTCTGTACATAGAAACCCTAAAGATTTCACCAAGAAACTATTAGAACTGGCAAATGAATTCAGTAAAGTAGCAGGCTACAAAATTAATATCCAGAAACCAGTTGCATTTTTATATGCCAATAATGAACTATCAGAAAGGGAAATTTTGAAACGGGCTCACTTGCTAAGATGGTTCCTGCAACTTTTGCAGAGGCTTTGGGTCTTTAGGAAGAGAGTATGGGCTTGATGTAGGCTCCTTGAGAAGGAAGGCGCACCCGGCATGGCCATGAACTTCCCTGGGCATTTCTCAGAAGAGAAGATTGAGCAAGAAAGCTGAGTGGTCCAAACAGAGAGCACTCTCCTTAGCCATTATGTCCCTATTACAGAATTTCATTTAGGTCATAGGCAACAGGCAGAATCAATGAGGCAGAAACTAGGATTCGAATGTTAACATAGCACATATACTGAATTTCTGCTGTGTGCCATGTGTTGTAGAGATAAAGGAGTGAAAGAGACAGGCAGGGTTTACTTCCCTTCAGTGTGGATCTCACAGCAATGGTAACCTATGTCCCAGTTTGTCTGGTAAATTATATGATTGAGCTACTAAAGAGGAAGACAGGTATTAAGAAATGAGAGGGTATAATTGGGGGACCTGACCTAGTCTGGGGGTAGACAGAGAAGACATTTCTAAGGAGGTGGCTCTGAAGAGGAGGCCTGGAGCATCAGAAAGAAGTATTGATGCAAAGGGGTCATGCTCTCACTGACCTCAGGGTCTCTGCACTTACCCCTTTCCCCCTCTGCCCAGAGGGAGGATGCTCTCGCATCCTGTCCTTTTTCCCCCTCAATATTGTCATTACAAGTAGAATACATTTTATAAACAGTGGGTAGCAGTTCCTGAGTTATAAAATTAATTTAGTGAGTAGTAATCAAATTAAAAATATACATATTATTAAATATCAAGAATATATTGTGCATAGTAAGGGTAAATGATAAGTTAAACCATTTGTGTGTGTGTGTGCGTGCGCGTACTAAATCACAATATAAAGTTAGTGCACTTCTAACTGTAGACCATGGTCAAAAAATTTTTTAAACATTTTATCTATAACAAGTAGAAATGAGATCACACTACTACCTTGATCTTCTGTGCATTTCTAATTATTTATTTAATGTCTAGAGAAAGTGAGAAGAACAGGAATGTGGCTCAAGCTAAGAAGGGACCAGATTATTCAAGCCTTTTTAAAGATTTTAGATTCTATCCTAAGATAAATGGAAAATGATTAAGCTGTTTTGTTTCTTTTTGTTTAGCTGCAATTTTATTTTTAACTGTGATTAAATGTTAAGGGAATTTGGTAACTAGAATTGAATAAGGGCTTTCTGATAAATGTTCTCTTACTTTAATAGACATTTTTTTATTATATACTATGTTTCAGTTATAGGTTTATAGTCTGTACTCTTACCTGAAAAGCACGCATAATAATACCTTATGGAGTTACTGTGAATATTAAATGAGTTTAGTGTGTTATGTACACACTCAAGAGCTGTTTCAGTGACCTTTTCATTACTTGTGCATCTTTAGGAATACATCCTGAAAAGATGCCTTGAGTCACACGATTACCAGAAAAAAAAAAAAAAAAGAATTATAGCTAGTTTCCATGTATTTGAAAAAAAGGTGGCCACAACTCTCAATTTTTTCTTTTAAACATCAGGCTATTTCCATAGGAGAATATGATGTCGACATAATTCTGAAATGGTGAAGTTATGTCAAAGTGAATTTTTAAATAAGTCAACATGAAATCCTTCCATTTTTCCTTACCCTGCGTCCAAATGTAATATTATTTGTCTAACCACATTTTTTTTTGGAGGGTAGAAACTGTCAACATAGAGTAATATTTCCACTTATTTCTATGAATTTCCCTTCCCCCTTCAGATTTCACCACCCAATCCTCAGTCCTTTGGAAAGCAGTTTCCAGCTGGAAGTGGATGTCCTGAGTCACCTCCTGAAGGCCCAGGCTCAGGTGTCAGAGTGGAAGTTCCTGCCATCGCTGGTTAACTTGCACAGTGCACACACCAAGCTGCAGACGTGGGGCCAGATCTTTGAAAAGCAGCGGGAGACCAAGAAACATCTGTTTGGAGGGCAGTCTCAGAAGGCTGTTCAGCCCCCACACCTTTTCCTTTGGCTGATGAAACTCAAAAACATGCTTCTTGCCAAATTTAGCTTTTACTTTCATGAGGCTCTGAGCCGACAAACGACTGCTTCAGAAATGAAAACGTTGACTGCAAAAGCCAACCCAGACCTGTTTGGAAAGATTTCCAGCTTCATCAGGAAGTATGATGCTGCCAATGTGTCTTTAATCTTTGACAACCGAGGGTCTGAGAGCTTTCAGGGTCATGGCTATCACCACCCCCATTCCTACAGAGAGGCCCCTAAGGGTGTGGACCAGTATCCAGCCGTGGTCTCTCTGCCCAGCGACAGGCCAGTCATGCACTGGCCCAATGTCATCATGATCATGACAGACCGCACGTCCGACCTGAACAGCTTGGAGAAAGTGGTTCACTTCTATGATGACAAAGTTCAGAGCACCTACTTCCTGACCCGCCCAGAGCCTCACTTCACCATCGTTGTCATTTTTGAGTCAAAGAAATCTGAAAGAGACTCCCACTTTATTTCCTTCCTTAATGAGCTCTCACTTGCCCTTAAGAACCCCAAAATTTTTGCAAGTTTGAAACCTGGATCCAAAGGTTAGCAGATTATTTGTGTGAAAGGTTTTCAAGATAAGAAATTGTGTTCTTAATTGCTCTAGTTATCTACAGTCGTCTGTGATTAGAGTTTTGATCCATTCATGCTTCTTTCAGACCTAAATTAAAGACAAATCATCCCTAATTATGTTGCACACTTTATATGCAATTAAGGCCAATTGAATAAAGTATCCAAAGAGGAATCTAGGAAGTGATCATGGCTACTGTGTATCTCCATGAGAGAGCAAAGTACTCCCAGTATTTTCTCCTATTTTTCCTGTATTTCATGTAGACTACATATTTATTGGGCTTTGATGTTTCTTTCCAGATGTTTTATATTCCAAGCATTGTGTTCTAATGCCATTCCACATGCCCTCTCTCTTCCCCTCTTAGCTGGAGGAGTCATTGAGATAAGATGTTAAATGGCCTTTTTTAGAATTAGGACTGGGTGTTTCCTATCTCGTAAACTAACCAGTTAACATAAAGTTATGTTCTATTATTCTGATCTCTAAATGAATACTTTTGATGCCAAAATTAAAGTCTTGGTGAGAAATTTCTACTACTTATTAAAGTTGAATGTAAATCAGAATAGTAGGATAAACATCAGGTTTTAACAGCTCAGAAGCCCGTAAGGCAGCTTTAATAGCCATGGGTCCTTTTGGGAAAATCTACACACCTAACTGCATTTGTTTGTACCCTTGTATATTTTGAATTTTTCATGCTTTTAAAGTCAGCATATGCCATTATGTGGGATTCTTCACTCTTCAGCATATTATCTGCTTGGCTTTCTGTTTATCACCTTTCTGCTGAAATGTATGTTCATGTTTGGCTCCATCCCTGGTTATTTTTAGGCTGAAAAAACATGCACTCTGGGTTTTTCAGACACTCTTATTCATTCATGCCACTCAGCCCACTTTCATAAAAATCAAAATAGAATCACTGCACTGGCTAAAAATCAATTGTGCATTCAAAAGACCTCTTCATAGTTGCATAATCAACTTAAGCACATCTGAACTTGGGATTCATGCCTATCTCCTCCAAATATTTTTAGAAGTATTGCTACATCTTAACACATGCTACCTTACCTCTTTTCTTCAGTGGGCGTTCATGAGGAAGAAGGCATTAAGGTGGAGACCTTTACTTCTAGCTTATTGATTCAGAATAAAACTAAGCCACAAAGAGTAATTGAGCTGTTATTTGATAGTTCCTTCAAAGCTCGTGTGCAATGCAATAGTCCAGACAGTCCTGTTTCTCATGATTGCACGAAGCCACTCTGTTATTGGGCGACCACAACAGACAAGCCAGAAACATTGCAGAGGCCAGAGGAGCCCTCCAAGGTCCATAGGAGGTCTTCCACCTCAGTCTGGATTACCTGGTAGAAGAATCCACTGGTCTATTTTCTGAAGAGAACACGTTTTTGTTTTTGTTTTTGTTTTTCTCCTAAAAAAAGTCATATGATTTGTAAAAAGCCATTTGCTTTAATTAGAAAGTAGTCATTTATCTCTGCAATTTATTCACTCAGATTCTATAAAAATCTGAACAGATTGTGCAACTTTGACCTTACATAAAACACTGAAAACAATTGGAACTGAAAAGTTAAATCATTTTTCCTCCCTTTTGTGTTTTGGTAAGAAGCTGAAAAATATCCCTTGATGTGTGCGTTGTCTTTGTCCTAGATAAAACCACCATTAGCCTTAATGATACGGTCTCCCATGTACCTAAAAGAAAATAACGTGGAGAAGAGTATAAATAAAACATATATACAATACTTAAATAACTACTCCTCCCTAGAACATATTTGAATTGTATATTTATTTTTAAACATATTTTGGTTTAAGTCAAGAAAGTCATTTTACTCTGAGATTTGTCATTAAACTCAGTAATGATCTGTAAAGTCTATGTTTTGCTAATTGGAAGAGTAAATCTGCACATTTTCCATAGACTGCTTATTTTGAAATTTGTTTCTAAACCACCGCTTGATCGATTCTCATGGGTAACTGCGAGTGTGTTCAGTCAACACTGAGTTTGCCAGCGAGCCCATCGAGGAGTGCTTCTTGTTAGCGTGCTGTTCGGACCCAGGGTGGGCGTTTACCACTGTCCTCTCTCAGGTCCAACTATGGCATCGGACTGTGTCGTTTTAGGGAGTGTGTGAAATCAGAGCCTGATTCTTAACTGAGGAGACAAAATCCTTTATATGATCACTTTGTACATGTGCACATATTGGAAAAAAAACTTACTTTCAAGGAAGAAAATAGTTGATACTTCACTGCGCTCCCAGTAGAGTCACTCAGGTGATCTTTAAAATACCATGTCCACCCTTTGTTCTAGCAGCAAAATTGCATTTTATTTCTTTGCAAGCCAGCCTCTGAGCTGGACTTCCTTATCTCTAAAATGGGGATAAGGAAATGTGGGCTCGTTTTCCAAGAATACATGTAAGAGTGCAATGAGATCATGCATGTAAAAAAAGGCTCTGAAAATGCAGTTGGGTTTGAAAGCTGTATAAATAAAAGATGGACCGCGCTCTCCTTAAAGTCAATGCCTCTCCCGTTCTCATCTTTCTCCCCAGGACATTGGCAAACCTGTGCTTAGTCATGAAGTTTGAACAGTACTTAAAGAACTAGTTTAGAAGAGGAGGCAGACAAATGCTTAACCAACCCACCTACTCTTCTTAATTTAGAATTTTTGTGGTTCTTTGTTCCCAAGTTTTCATGGTTGGTTGACAGCATCATTTCAGTTCTTCTATATTCAAACTGATTTTTTTTTTTTTGGTCTATTAATTACTGAGAGGTGTGTTAAAGTCTCCTATTGTGATTGTGTACTTTTCCTTTATTTCTGTCAATTTTTGTAGTTTGAAGCTCTTTTATTAGGCCAATATACATTTATAATTTTTCTTTCACATGTATTAACCACTTATCATTACAAAGTTTTCTGCTTTAATTCCATCACTACTTCCTGCTTTGAAGTCCATTTTTATGATCATCCCAGCTTGCTTATGTTTACTATTTGCATGGTATGTCCTTTTCTATCCGCTCACTTCTCATCTATTTGTGTATTTTTAAAGCATCTATAGTAAGAACTAAAGTGAGAAGACTGATTAAAAAGAGCAATAACCAACTCTGTGCTTGCCAATCAGATGCCTTTTGATTCAATTATTTAGTTCATTTCTCCTGTAGATTTTTTCCCCTTACAGTCAGGATTTTGTTAATGGTATCTTCAAAACATCATTTAACATGTATGTTTATCCTTTCTTCCCCTTTCATATTTGGAGTTATATCAAGAGGTCTGATCAGATTTAGTTTAGTTTTATAATAGTAGTGTTGTGTGTTTTATGAGGAGGCAGCTAAAAGCTGACATTACCTAGATCAAAATGGTCAAATGGAGAAACTTCACCTCTGTTTGGTTACCTTGAAGAACAGTTCGTATAGGAGTGGCTGGATAAATGCTTGGTTCTTATGCCAGTTTTACAAATAGTGAGTGAGTTCTCTTAAACTTTCCAGAGATGCAAGGGAGTTGGTTTTTTTTTTTATGAATTTATGAGTATTCCTGCCTCTTAGATTTTACCCTAAATTTGCAATAAAGCAGCCATTCTCCCCCCACTCTGTGCCACAAGACACTTCTGTGTAAATATTATGGCTTTCCCGTATTTGTTTGTGGTTAATTTTCTCTCTTAATTACTATTGACTATTTTCTTCCCCCTTTCCCTCCTATCCTTTCTCCTCTCCTCTCCCTCCCCCCTTCCTTAGTTTCTAATATCTTCCTCACCAGTTTCACTTTTGTCATGCCTTTCCCATGCCTCAGGGGGCCAGGACATACCCCAGTGGTCTCTGACCCAGTTTTGGAAAGTAGCATCTGAAAGTATTTCTTTTGATGGTTTTACAACTCGCCTTTTTCAAGCAGCGACAGAGGAATGCACAGTGTGGAGAAGTTCAGTGTTACTGCGGGTTGGGTGACCACAGTGAAGCGCGTCTGCTTCATGAGCACCGAGTCATTTGGACAACGACAGCCAAGCAGTGCTCTATGTATGTAGTAGATTATTTGGCTCAGAACTAAAATCTTTTTAAGTTTATTTTTACTAGAATTTTTAATATTAAGTCAAAGATCATTCTTAGTCTATTTTCTATTTGCTGTAATTCATCTGTATAAAACATTACGTTAACTTCTGATTTTATTTTCCCTTCAAGTAAATGTTTAACAAAATAGATTCCGCCTCCCCCCCGCCCCCGCTTCTCACTGAGGAAGGAAAAACATGGCATGTGACTCCTGGAGAAAGCCCAGGAGGTAGAGTTCAGCAGTTCCCCTCTACTTTTTCTACCAGGTTTCTGTTGCCAATGCAGTTATTTCATGGCCTTTGCCTGAATAATGAAAGCTGCTTCTCCAGAGAAAATGAATCAGAAGAACTAGGTTTCTGCCTTTGGAGATTTCTCTTGGGATCATGTAAATCCATAAGGTTCATTAATGCAAGTATTTTTGACTTGCCTATGTTTCAATCTGGTCTTGATTTTTTTTTTTTTTTAAATTGTTTCTGGGATACTTTAAACTTAAAACCATGTGGTATGTGTAAGATATCAATGTTAGACAGTGGAGAGATGCAAATGGGATTCCATGTCAGTAGCCCCATCCATACCTAATGTCAGAACCTGGGGATAGGATTCTGAGCGGTGGCTCAATTCAGGGAGGGTCGTGAGAGGCAACTGCGTTGGGGGCGTTCTGAAAGAGGGTGGCTTACACATGCAGTGGCATTAGCAGGAAAGTATAGGGTGGCACCTGACATTGACCTAGCAGAGGAAGACAGGCATTTGGACTTTGGGTAACTTTGTCTCTAGGGGGGTGAATTCTGCTTTTGCTGATCTTAAAAACTGCAGAGACATTCCAGAATCCAGTTAAATTTGAAAATCTGACGCCTCATTTAATCTGAGATTTATAATGATTTAGCTAATCAAACTTTTAGGTTGGGTCTAGACTTATTTTTGTATGACAAGATATGGCAGTGCACGACCCCCCTTGACCCCTTGATCTTAGTCTCTGTCACCTCAGTCTAGGCAGATGTTACAGAAGTCCCCAAGGCAGAAGCAGATAGAGTACATGAATGATACTTTATTAAACCTCAGCTATGCTAGGGGTAGTAATACAACAGCCAACCAAAGCAAATAAGGAGCCTGCTCTGTTGGTGCTGGTGGTAAGGTGGGCTCCAGGCAGGCCAGGAGCCAAGACAGCTCTAAGTAGAAAGGCAATGCATACTCTTTAAATTTATGGTACTTGCGTACCTCTCTACCAGTTTTGGAAAAATCATGATACCTTGATGGATTTTCTTTTTAAAATCTGAAATAAACATCATTACATTTAAATAGTTTCAAAAAGCTATGTTTTATACACTTTGTCACATATTATAAATATTGATGTTTAAAATTCAAATGTTCTTTTAAATGTATCCAGTGAAACCTTGATACAGCAGTAGAGTATTGATAACCATCATTTTCCGTATTTAAAATTATCTTAAGCTTTGTAACAGTTGGAAATATTTTATCACTCCTCTTGTTTCTTGAACTCTATTTTACTTCTCCCATAGAATTTGGTCCTAATATGATTTTTTTTCTTAAAAGTCTTGTTGATCACCTATTAAATGCTTCACAGCATTATACATATAAAAATATTATACTAATTTTTTTACTTTTATTAGTATTTATTTTATGCTGAATTTACTCCTGGGTCATAAGCTTCCATTTCTTCAGTTTCTTCTGGAATATCTTTTTCTTCTGCACAGCCTTCTCATCTGATTTAGGAACAATCTGTTCTTTTTCAGTAGGATCCTCTCAATGTGGCAGGGAGGGCTCACATATAGGGTAATCCACCCATCGGCTCTGTAAGTTCTGCACTGCACCTTGGGAGCTTTGTTCACCTGGGATGCGCTCAATGACCATAGAATCTACACCTGGGCCCTTAGGTTAAGCGTTACTCTCTGCATTTTTAAGCATGTGCTGCAAAAATTCAGCACTCTTTTTGTGCCACTGACTCTGCATCCAGCCCCACTGTTTGGCCTGGGCACACCTACCAACTCCACCATTGTAACAATGGAATGGCACGCATTGCTTCTGTAAAGTGATATCTTTCAGGTGCTTGGTGGCTTTTCAGATATGCATAGCTTTGATGGCCTGGGCAGTTTCACAAGCATTCTTAAAGTGAACATGAAGATTTGAACCTCTTGATTTGCATGGTTTTGTGGGGTTTTCTGGTTCAAGTGAATAGTGAACCATTTTCAGAGGTCACCTCTGGCCACTTTCAAGTGCGGGAGGCTCCGTCCCACAGAGTCTTCCCGGTTGCCATAGATGAAGAAATAAACTGTACCAGACACGATCTGCCTGTCAAGCCCCGAGCCCTTCTCTTGCTTTTATTGAGTTTAGCTCGTATAGAGATAAATAGTATGCGGGTAAAACGCATCAATCAATGTTAAACAGTAATGATTAAAGGAAGAAGATATGGTTTAAGGATAACAGTAAAGGGATTACGAGAGTTTTTCTGCGTCAGGGTCTGGTAGACAGAGTGACAACCATTCAGTCCTAAAAGCTGGGAAAATAAACTCATGCTGGTGTTTATTTTTGGACCCCAAACACCAGTATTCATGAACTTGAGGGCATTCTTAGAAAAGCAAGTTTCATAGGATTTAATGCATTCCTTTTCCAGGCCTAATTGCCCCCAGGAACCACCTGATCCAGTTTAGGGCTGTACCTGCCTCTAGTATTGTATCAAGCCTGAGTCAGGCGCAGGGAACAGAGCAGCCAAGAGATAAAGATTATATTTCAGATAGAATGAGGACTCT